TTAATTTCTTTCTGATTTTTTTAGCATCTGTATATTCTGGTTGTGGAGGATGCTAACCTTGCTGCAGAGTTGCGCATTATCAAAGACTTCTTTTTACTAGGGCGGGGAGAGTTATTTCTGGCCTTCATAGATCAAACACAGACATTACTCAGAGGCCCACCTGTCAACACAACAGAACACGGTAACTTTACTGGTGACCATCTGTTACATGAGGTCATCTGTGATTGGATTAACCTAATACTGTGGTTTCATCATTATTTCTGGAACACCAATTTTAGTGGATTTCGATGAGTCGATCCATGAAATCAAATGTTCATCCAAGTTTAGTGCCTCCATTTTGATATATTATAAAACTTTTAAAAAGTCAACTAAGATCGAGTTTCTTTTATATATATTTAATACATTCCCACCTTTCCCAACAGATTGACTTTATAGACGTATTTTATTATTTTAACAATATTAAAAAAAAGAGAAAGAAATACTTTTACATAATTATCTAGACTTTTTGTGTAAATTTTTTTTAATATTCTGCACGGAGATAAACAAACAACACGTAGATCTGTCAACACAGTGCATATACCAAACAGTGGTATTATCCCCCCAAAGGTAATACTGTATAGGGAGAAAATAACTTGCTGTGGTAATATTCGCTATATTCACGGTGTTAATAAATCCGTGAATTTAAGAAACTGTGAATAAGTTTTCAATAATCTACATGTTTTATTTAGAAGTTTGAGAATACACTACGAAACATGTAGGTACAGTACATGGTCATATCAGTAATTACGAGTAGTACTTGTCATTCCATTATTTTAATTATCACGCTTTCCTTCAATTCAAATCAGCAGATATTAACCTGAATTTGTTAAAAAGCTGTTTTAATAGCCAATGCTACATGTTTCATCAATCAAAACACATGGGCCATGGGTTTTGATTACCCTTGCATAACTATTGTTACGTGTGTACTTGTTACCTGCATTATCATGCATATAAGTTTTTATTGACATTTTGGTTTTAAAAAATCATTAAAATAACTATCGAACTTACTGGAGATGTGGAAGGATATTATTTCGTCAACCTACATCAACACATTTTTTTACCGTCCAGTGGTTTTTCGCCGCTTTGTATGGAAGATCTTGGGGTTTACATGCACTCATCATAATAGCACACAGGAAATTCATTTGACGTTAATACTAGTCAAGGACCTTTGATAACTGTATTTGTTTAAATTAATCATCATTTATTTATTAAATCTAACTTTTTTATATTTACCTACACTGTTGTTAGAGAAATAAAGACATAACGCTGATTAATGTCGTTTACATGTAGCTATGGTATGGATTAAACATATGTAGACAAGGGAGGTAACTTTTATTATATACTGATTCCGAGAATTCAAGAAACCGCGATCATGTCAGATGAGAGAAAAACGTGAAAATTACAACCTGCGTAATTAATCTCCTATACAGTATTCAGGCGTAAATGTGTGAAATTTGACTTTCATGATATGTTTTTTAGAAACATATTATTTATTAACACGAGATAATGGGTATGTATGTTGCGAAAGTTCTGCCATTTCCAAGTCCATCCCGACTTAATTTTTTGTCGTCCATTTTGCATTTTTAGCTCACCTCGACGAAGTCGAGATGAGCTTATGCTATACCCCCGGCGTTGGCGTCGGCGTTAGCGTCGGCGTCCCAGGTTAAAGTTTTAGGAGCAAGTCCATTCCCAAGTAACTGTAAGCCCTACCTGAACCAAACTTGCATGGATGATGCATCTAGGGATGTACACTACAAGACTTGCTTCGGATGCTGGATCTGACCTACATTTTCCAGATGAGTGACCAGGTTAAAGTTTTTGGAGCAGGTTAAAGTTTTTGGAGCAGGTCCATTCCCAAGGAATTATAAGCCCTACCCAGACCAAACTTGCATGGATGATGCATCTAGGGATGTACACTACCAGACTTGCTTCGGATGCTGGATCTGACCTACATTTTCCAGATGAGTGACCAGGTTAAAGTTTTTGGAGCAGGTCCATTCCACAGGAACTATAAGCCCTACTCGAACCAAACTTGCATGGATGATGCATCTAGGGATGTACACTACCAAACTTGCTTCGGATGCTGGATCTGACCTACATTTCCCAGATGAGTGACCAGGTTAAAGTTTTTGGAGCAAGTCCATTCCACAGGAACTATAAGCCCTATTTGGACCAAACTTGCATGGATGATGCATCTACATGTAGGGATGTACACTACCAGACTTGCTTCGGATGCTGGATCTGACCTACATTCTCATTCCCAAGTAACTATAAGCCATATTTGGACCAAACTTGCATGGATGATGCATCTAGGGATGGACATTACCAGACTAGCTTCGGATGCTGGATCTGACCTATATTTACATTCCCAAGTATCTATAAGCCCTAGCTAAACTAAACTTGCATGGATGATGTATCTAGGGATGGACACTACCAGACTTGCTTCGGATGCTGGATCTGACCTACATTTTCATTCCCAAGTAACTATAAGCCCTACCTGAACCAAACTTGCATGGATGATGCATCTAAGGATGGACACTATCAGACTTGCTTCGGATGCTGGATCTGACCTATATTTTCCATACAAGAGACTTGGTTAAAGTTTTGGGAACAGATCAATCCGAATGAACTTGAAGACCTTGATATATGCAGTATTAACAGTTATGAATATTTGTTTACACTATACATATACATATTTTTCACGCTACAGGCTTAGAAATGTGTATATGCCATGTAAGGGGTTAAATACAACTTGCAAGAATATTGTTGTTGGGATGAATACTAAATATTAAGAAAATATGATGTGAGATTTGCATTACTTAAACTGATAACATTCGTCGAGGTGAGCTTCGTAATCTTTGATTACCTATGTTTAAGTGTGAAATTGTATCCAGCAAATGGATGTGTTTGTTCATAGTTCTACAAACCATCACTTTCAAGTCCAGAAACATGCCATGCATGCATGTGAAAATAAGTATCTAACACCAGTTTCAGTTGTTGTTACGCTAAAGCATACAGCAAAAGACAATAAGAAAAGATGACAAACATTTTTTTTCTGTAAAGACCATATTCTTCAAATTTACATATCCTTGAAACTGTGATTTTTACTAAATCCATGAATTTTGATGCCCACGAATATAAATGAAACCACAGTAGACTAAAATTTTAATTTTATGTCTCTTCATTAACAGTGCTTTCTCATAAACCTTATCTTTAGTATTTTGAGAGATCTACAATTCTTGAGTACTGTAGAAGTTTTTCCGCGTGGTATTAATTCTAAGCTATGTACGCGGTCACAAATTTTCCATGGAAATTTGTCCAAGCAGACTTAATGTAAATGTAAGACATATAGTGGCAATCTAGAAAATCCGCGTAATTTTTTACCCGCTTATTAAACAGAAATTGAGATTCCGCGGAATTATGACCCCATTGAAAAAAGTACGTATACAGTATATCAAAGCTCAGCTTTAATAGTCAGATCTGTTCTTTAAAAATTGCTTACTTATAGTACACTGTATTTTATCTAATTATGCATTTATTGAAAGACAGGCTTTGAAATTAATTAAAAGAAATATGTTAAGAATCAATAACTCTTTCTCTTGGAAATTTCTTAAAATTGTCAATATGTACAGCTCATCTGAGATAAAAGGCTCAATTTAGCTTTTTTCGATTAAAGAATGTCTGGCATTTGTCTGACTGTTGTGTGTCACATTTTCAACTTTTCACCAGACCATGGGGCCAAATTCAACCAAGGTTTTTTTTTTTAAATAAAAGGCGACTTAATGTTTTGATCAAATCAAAGGTAAAGTGAGATGAAATTTTTTTTTTTAAAAATTGTGAAATTTAATGTGGTGGTCTCATTTAAAAATTATCTTCCCAGGAACCAGTGATCAGAAAAATAGAGAATGAAAAGAAAAGGTGACACAATTATGATTCAAGTTTTTTCAAACCATGGCCCTAGGGTGTAGGTTGGAATCCCATAAAAAATATTTTCTTTTTATGGAAATTCTGTATATAAAAAAAACTATATCAATGTCTTCCTTCACGAACAGCATGGCAATCATAGGGCTATATTAAAAAGCAACTATTCTCATATAGTGCAGATTAGAATTGGTCCATGATTAGCAGATCATCAAATTGGCTGCCAAAAATATAGGTATTATATCTTTCCTTCCAAGGGGACACATATTTTTTTTTCAAAGTATTTTTGCAAGAAAGGGTCCTGTCCAAGAAAAACACAAGAGAATATTTTTATTTTGTATTCAGACATTTTTATTTCAGAAAAATTTTATACATACAATTCAGCCACACAATTTAAAGGAAACGCAGACTTGACACTACTTCAATCATCAGTACATTCGTTAATCAAAGTAAAATAATGTGTCTTTTGTTCTGTAGATGTGAATATGGCCTTTCATCAAGCTGCTCGTAATGTTCTGATAGATGACGAGAGCTTGCTTCAGAGGTTCCATTTAGGAGTGCAGTTCAAAGGAAGTGACAAAAGTAAGTCTTCATAGCAATGCTTTCTTTTTTTAAACTAATGAATCATATATATTGTAAACAAAAGATTTCTTTTACTTTCTACTACAAAGCTTCTAATTCTGAATGATTGAGTGTTCCTTATACATAATTTATTTAACAGAGAGCGATAGTTCATCAAGTTCCCAATCAGTGGAGTCTGGATGGAACAGCCTAAGTCTGTCTTACACGGTTCAGTGGCCACTGCACATTCTTCTCACTCCCTCCATTCTAGAGAAGTAAGAATTTGGGCTTAGTTTTTTATGGTTGGTAATTACTGAACAAGAGTCGGTACAAAAAGTGCAAAAATATTATTTATAATGCCAAACATTTATTTGATATAATAACATATATTTACATTAGCTGTGTTTTTCTACTAAGCAAACAGTGAAATTGATTTGAATACCATTTTCGTGTATGCTCACACGTAGAAATATACACGGAGAAACGTGCATTAACGTGACGTCACAATGAGACTGCAGCAACGTTAGTAAAAATGCAACAATATAGGACGGCAAGAAATTCAAATAAGTATATTTTAGTTGCTTCCAAGCATGAAAAATGTAAATATAAGGAACGTTTTTAAGTTTAGTGTGAATTATTGGTGTGAGAATCACACAGACTTGCACGTAGGCATATATATACGTAGGCTAGCTCGCTTCATGAAATATGCCTGCGTGAGAAGTCTGTGTGATTCACAACACCAATAACTCACACAAAACTTTAAAACATTCCTTAAAAGTATTTTTTAAAAAACTCATTGGTTTTTTTAATACATGTATATCACTTAAATTGCATTTAGAAATGAATAATTTTATCAAAAACTAGTCAAACAGTCAAACCTTGCTTAATTTGCACTCGCTGGGACTAACAAAAACTTGAAATACATAACAAGAAAGTAATAGGGACTTCCTGCTAAATTTCACATTTACAAGGAATCTGAGATATCAATGTTCAAAATTCTGATTTCTTAATCTTATCAAAATAAATTTACAAACATACTGTAAATTCACATATTTTTGTGGGGTCAAAATTTCAAGGTTTGACGAAAAAATCATGGTTCGTGGAGATTTGATTTCATCACTGGAGAAGGTTTAGTAGAAATATGTATGAAAGAACTTATTCAGTATATTGCATATCTTTGCCCCCATAAAAGTCAAATTTTGAAAAATGATTAAAATGTGTTGAATTGTATAAATTGTATGAAAAATATAAAGTAACAAAACATTTTTATAACATCACAAATTAGTCGGATTTTCCATTATTGTTTAGAAGAAGGACAAAATGGACAAAATTCTAACAATTTTAACTAAAGAATTTATAGAGCGCTGGTCTGCTCAGGAACAATATTTGCATATTTAATTGACATTATCATTCTACACATTATATCAAAATATTGAGCCTGAGCAGACCTGGGCTCGCAGACCTGTTTACTCTCACGATTTCGCCGTATTTTGTACGGATTTTTAGCCAAAAATACGTCTCACGTTTTGCTATTATGAAAATACGGAAATAGGAAATACGTTCGTTTGGAACTTAGCAGTTAGTTTTCGTTATGATCTGTCTTCTTTTCACACTTTCGAATTGGTAAAAAAGAAAAAAATTTCAAACACTTAAGTGATGTCGGGTTGTCAAAATGCTGTGGTATTATAAAATGTTAAAGACCATGTTCTTAAACCAAGTTTTTGTAATCAAAAATGCAGTTGTTCTCTTTTAAAATATGTAAAATTGACGGAAAGTTAAATATTACTGGCAAATGCCAAATCTCATGGAGAAATCTAATCAAAAATACTGAGAGACGACGATATGGGTAAACAGGTCTGCGCTCGGTGATTTTTACTCAAAATATCGACGCAATATTTACATTTTTCTGTAGAAATCATGGAAATTTTGAAATTACGTCATTTTCCTGACATCATTTCAAATATATGATGTCATTGCTAATGAAAATATTCAGTGCTTTGAAGTCAGCATATATTCCCCTTTTTTAGAACATAATTAAATATTACTACATCAAAGTTTGATTTTGGAGGCAAATATTGGTTATTACTGAATAAGGTCCTTTTTACATATGGACATGTTGACATGAATTCTTGGATCTCTTCATACCTCAAAAACAATGAAAATAAACCCCCCACAAAAGATAGTGATTTTGCAGTAGCTACTACATGCTTGAAAAGAGAGTGTGTGTTGGGGGAGGGGGTTATATAGGCAAAGGTATGGGGATGTTCATTGTTGATTTCTTCCTTTAGTAATACTTGGGAGTAGCCATCTCTTATCTACAACTCCTCTTACACCACTGATTGCAATTTTATGGAACCTTAACAATTTTTTACACAGTGGCTTTACATTTTGATTGGAAAGATATTTGGGGTTTCCCATAGCAAAAAATAGATTTTTCCATTACACTTCATCACATGCTCAAAGCACTTGTTTGAATGAACCTTAGAATGAAAATCAATGAAATTTTCACAGAATGATAAATCTCATCTATGTATTGCCAAAACATGCACTTTGCAATTATAATCATATTATATAAATAATGAACAAATGAACATTTTAGTAGTGAGTATGACTGAATGTTACTGTAGATACAACCGCTTGTTTGGGTTCCTAATGGCCGTGAAGAGAGCCCAGATAGACATCCAGCACTGCTGGACATTACAGATGCAGTATAAACAAAAACCATCCAACCCAGAAGAAGTGGCCAAGTGGCAGCTCAGGACACACATGGCTTTCTTAGTGGACAATCTACAGTATTACTTACAGGTTTGTGTTATACAATGCCTTATGGGCAGTCTACAGTATTATTTACAGGCATGTCCTACCATAGATGTCTTGACATTATAAAGTTACAGTATTAGTTTAAGATAGATCTTTTTCTCATCCCATCCCATCCAGGTTGGGGCCAACTGATCATATATTGAAAATGCAAAGCATGTAAAAAATGTGTTTATTACTTTTGGACCTCAAACAGTTCCATTGTTTGCAAGATTTCATGAATCCTCTATAAAAACTATCAAATTTATTTCTCATAGATCCAGGAACCATTGTCCCAGAATAGGGCTAATTTTGTCATGCTGAAGTTAATTTTTCAGTGTACCTCTTTACTCCTGAGCCTTTGGCAGTCAGACAAGCATTCATTAGTTAGCTGGTCTTTTTTATCCTGATGCAGGTTGATGTAATTGAATCTCAGTTCAGCACATTTATGGAGAAGATAACATCCACTCGGGACTTTGAGGCTGTTAAGCTTGCTCATGATCAGTTTCTCTCAGCTTTACTGTCCCAAAGCTTTGTTCACATGAAAGCTGTAAGTATGGAATAAAAATAGGGCCAAAGTAAAAGCTATCAGATATATACCAATATAACTGTCACTCCCTTGGCCCACATTCACAGAGCAATTTATTGTCTCCATTTTGTGAGAAGAAAAGGAAGTTAGACAAAGAGAATTATAAGTCAAAACAACTTTATTAAAAAGTATAAATGTAAGGTAAATGTCTTCATTTGTGAATCTTTTCTTTCAGGTCTCGAGATGTTTACATGAAATACTAGATAACTGCAGTCAGTTTAGCAAACTCCTGGTGAATTGTTCATCCCCTCTGTCTAAAGGAGAATTATCTCATCTACAGTTTATAGCAAAGGTAACGTACAAGCACCTTAAGGTTCATTTAAAATACATTGTGCTGTGAACAGCATGTCATTTTCATAGTTTAGGTAGGTAACACGACTCAAAGGTTCAACTTATACATCAATCTATCTGGTTTGGTTTGAGTTTTTATCTTGTGATTAGTTCCACTTACAAAGGGTATCAAAAACATATTGGACTGATGCAATAAAATTTTTGATTTTACCAAAGTGTTACTTAGAAAAGAACTATATGTGGTATATGCATTTTTTGTCCCCACAAAAGTCATATTTTGATAATTTCTTTGAATTTGCTAAATTGTGTATACTGTATCATGGAAAGGACTTTATTCGGTGATGACCAATATTTGCCCCCCCCCCCCAATCAAACTTTGACGGAGAAATATTTAATTATGTTCTATAACAGGGGGGTATCTACAGACTTCAAAGCACTGAATATTTTCATTTAACAATGGCATCATATGTTTGAAATGACATCAGGAAAATGACGTGAATTTAAAATTTCCATGTTTTCTACAGAATAAAGTATATATTACCTCAATATTTTGAGTAAAAGTCACTGAATGCAGGTCTGCTCAAGCTCAATATTTTGATATAATGTGTAGAATGTTAATATCAATGAAATATTAAAATATTATTCCTGAGCAGGTCTGCGCTCTATAATTTTTATAGCTACATTGTAAAATTGTTAAAATTTTGTCCTCTTTCTGAAAAATGATACAAAATCCAACTAGTTTGTGACATCTTAAAAACAAAAATCGTCAATAGCCTACTTTGAAACTATGATATATTTTGTTCATTTATATTTCTCGTACAATTTATACAATTCAGCATATATTTCAAGAAACTTTCATAATATGACTTTTGTGGGAGTAAAAATATGTAATATACTGCATATAGTTCTTGGGACTTTGCGTCATTTTCTGACGCCATATCTTACATATGATGTCGTGGTTTATGAAAATATTCAATGCCTTGAAGTTTGCACATATTCCCATGTTTTAGAACATAATTTTTGTATTTCTCCATCAAAGTTTGATTTTAGTGGCAAATATTGGTCATTACCAAATATAGTCCTTTATGATATATTTGTTATATAATACAGGATTTTTGCATCCCTGATATGAACACAGGCACGTGCCCGGTATTACACACCCTGTATCAGTACAATTACTGAAGGTCCTCACTTGACTTGGGTCATTTAATCTGCTTGCCCTTGTTCAGTTTCTACCATAAGCTTACTTCTCGGCTTGACATCTTTGGACAAGTTGGATGCTCAAACTTTGAGTCTGCAGTGATCTGAATTTACAATAAGTGTGTTTCTCCTCTCCTGAACCTTTGATCTACACAAAGATTCTGAATCGACATGTTCTGGGGTTTTTTTTTTTGCCAGTTCATACATTTTTAAAGTCTATGCAATTTTGCAACATCAAAGTATTTACATGTGTATAGAAATAAAAAAAAAACCCACCTTTTTTACAAATCCTCATTAAACAGGACTGATGTGACACAGATGAACATTGTGTTCCCTGAACTTCTAGTCCAGATAGATGATCAGGCTAAAAAATTTTGGAGCAATTGTATTATCACTTACATTTTGCCTTGGGGTGACAAAATTTGCATTGATAATGCATCTAGGGATACACACTACTAAAACAGACTGCTTTACATATAGAAAGCACATGTTTGTAATCTTTGATTGCCTTTTGTTTAAAGTATTCAATATTTCCTTTCTAGAATTTTCAGCGACAGTCTAATCTACTGTTTACAGTCCTGTCCAGTGTCAGAAGTCATAATTCTAGCCCCCATCTGGCACAACTACTGTTACGACTAGACTACAACCATTACTTCTCTATAGCAGGAGGCCAGCTCGGAAGGTAAGACTAGCCTACAACCATTACTTCTCTATAGCAGGAGGCCAGCTCGGAAGGTAAGACTAGAATACAACCATTACTTCTCTATAGCAGGAGGCCAGCTCAGAAGGTAAGACTAGACTACAACCATTCTCTATAGCTGGCGGCCAGCTCGGAAGGTAAGACTAGCCTACAACCATTATTTCTCTATAGCAGGAGGCCAGCTCTGAAGGTAAGACTAGACTACAACCATTACTTCTCTATAGCAGGAGGCCAGCTCGGAAGGTAAGACTAGACTACAACCATTCTCTATAGCTGGCGGCCAGCTCGGAAGATAAGAGTAGACTACAACCATTACTTCTCTATAGCAGGAGGCCAGCTTGGAAGGTAAGACTAGACTACAACCACTACTTCTCTATGGCAGGAAGCCAGCTCGGAAGGTAAGACTAGACTACAACTATTACTTCTCTATAGCAGGAGGCCAGCTCAGAAGGTAAGACTAGACTACAACCAATCTCTATAGCTGGCGGCCAGCTCGGAAGGTAAGACTAGCCTACAACCATTATTTCTCTATAGCAGGAGGCCAGCTCTGAAGGTAAGACTAGACTACAACCATTACTTCTCTATAGCAGGAGGCCAGCTCGGAAGGTAAGACTAGACTACAACCATTCTCTATAGCTGGCGGCCAGCTCGGAAGGTAAGACTAGACTACAACCATTACTTCTCTATAGCAGGAGGCCAGCTCGGAAGGTAAGACTAGACTACAACCATTCTCTATAGCAGGAGGCCAGCTCGGAAGGTAAGACTAGACTACAACCGTTACTTCTGTATGGCAGGAGGCCCGTTCGGAAGGTAAGACTAGACTACAACCATTATTTCTCTATAGCAGGAGGCCAGCTCGGAAGGTAATACTAGACTACAACCATTACTTCTCTATAGCAGGAGGCCAGCTAGGAATGTAAGACTAGACTAAACATTGAGTCAAATGCTGACTGATGTTTTTCATACTAATTGTTACAACCATTACTTCTCTATAGCAGGAGGCCAGCTCGGAAGGTAAGACTAGCCTACAACCATTTTCTATAGGAGGCCAGCTCGGAAGCTAAGAATCTCTGAAACATGTCATGGTTTCAAAGAAAAAGATCCGATAAGCTGTCCTGTTACAAAGCATAGTTAAAAATAAGCTATTTTATTAAAAGCATAGGCTGGAAGTTATTTGGAGTCTAGCTTGGGTGATGAGCTTTTTCTCTGTTCACAATTTTTGTTCCAATGGCCTTTTGAGCTTGAATACTGTTCCAAATGACATTGAAGATGAGTTTTTCTTTTAGTTCAGATTTGGAAATCCTCTTAAGGTCAAGATCTAGTAAATAACTTTAGACTAATTTTTTGGTGCTAGATCCATTATGACGTCATAATCAATTTCAACTTTCTTTTTCCCGTACTTTACGGCTTAAGCAGATTTATGCAGAAAAAAGGTATTTTCATGACATTCAATTTGAAATCATATGAAAAGTAAACCGGATACCTATATTAAATTTGATATTGATTTAAAGGAGAGGCCACTAACATACTAATTACTGTTTTCTGAGAGACTGTAGGCAATCTGGATACATTTCCTCTGTCGAATATGAAAAAAAATCCAATATTCATGACTAGTTTTCTTAATTTTTCATTGAAAAAAAACAGCTTAAAATACAGTTTTTAATCTTGTTCACCTACAAATTATGCCCCGAAACACCTTATTTGACCAAACTATAGTTGTAAAGCATCAATAAAGGAATTTATTTCACAAATTTGATAAATCTGTAGGCACATTTCATTTACTAGATCTTGACCTTAAGCATTTCATGATTGGAAAGTACCTTTTAAGTTTCCTTGATACAATACTGGTTAAGAGGACTTTGGAAAATACAAACAGGATGAAATGAAGGAAAAAAATTCTATGAGAGTCATCCTTCATAAAATCTTTTTATGTGGGTAATATCACAAAAACAAGGCAGGTTTTACTTTGTTTATCTCGATCATTACACATTTTGATGATTTAAAAAAAAAAAAACCAACACACTGTGTAGTTTTTGATAATATTATTTTATACCAATATGATAAAATAAAAGCAAAGGTTTGTGCTAAAGACAAAATGGCCCTGTCACCTTTTCACTGTCACCTTATATCAAATTCCCAACATTTAAGTAAAAACAATGCTTTCGTTACTAATGAGATAATTCTCCGTACAGTAGCCTTAAAAGAGAACTGCTTTGTGATATTGCAAATTTCTTGAATTTTGAAGTACAGTTCACAATTTTAATTACACAATATTAATTAAAAACTTTTAAACAAACATTACTATTAATATGTAGTTGTAATTTTTGCTTTTAATGTTGTTTTTTAATCAAATATTTTGAAATTTTTTAGGTCACCTGAGTAAACTCAGGTGACCTATTGCTATCCGTTTTCGTCCGTCGTCGTCCGTCGTGTGTCGTGTGTTGTGTGTCGTGTGTCGTGTGTTAACATTTGAACATTTTCAGCTTCTTCTCTGCAACCACTGAACCAATTTCAACCAAATTTGGCACAAAGCATCTATGGGTGAAGGGGAACGAAAATTGTGAATTTTGGGGCCTGAGGGGTGGGGCCAAAACCACTAAAATTAATGCAATCTTTAAAAATCTTCTTCTTTACTCCTGGACATCAAGCAGTCAAATTATTTGCATGATTGTAATCAGCATTGAGTCCTCTACCAAAATTGTGAAATTCATGGCCCTGGGGTCAGGGGTTCTAGTGCTAGGGCGGGGCTAAATAAGTATATAGTGAAAATGCATTATTTCTTTGAAAATCTTCTTCTCTGCTTCTGGGTATTAAATAAACCAACTAAGTACATAGTTATGATGAGCAAGAGTGCCTCTACCAAAATTGTGAATTTTATGGCCCCAGGGTCAGGGGTTCTGGTGTTAGGGTGGGGCTCTATTGATTATATAGTAAAAATACATGATTTCTTTGAAAATCTTCTTCTCTGCCCCTGGGTGTTAAATAAACCAAGTAAGTAAATAATTATGATGAGCAAGAGTGCCTCTACCAAAATTGTGAATTTTATGGCCCCAGGGTCAAGGGTTCTGGTGTTGGGGGGGGGGGGCTCTATTGATTATATAGTGAAATAACATGAATTCTTTGAAAATCTTCTTCTCTGCTCCTAGGTATTAAATAAACTAACTAAGTGCATAGTTATGATGAGCAAGAGTGCCTCTATAAAAATTGTGAATTTTATGGCCCCAGCATCAATGGTTCTGGTGGGGGGGGGGGACTTTATTGTTTATAAAGTGAAAATACATGAATTCTTTGAAAATCTTCTTCTCTGCTCCTAGGTATTAAATAAACTAACTAAGTACATAGTTATGATAAGCAAGTGTTCCTCAACCAAGATTGTGAATTTTATGGCCCCAGGGTCAAGGGTTCTGGTGTGTGTGTGTGGGGGGGGGGGGCTCTATTGATTATATAGTGAAAATATGTGAATTCCTTGAAAATCTTCTTCTCTGCTCCTAGGTATTATATAAACTAACTAAGTGCATAGTTATGATGAGCAAGTGTGCCTCAACCAAAATTGTGAATTTAATGGCCCTATCATCAAGGGTTCTGGTGTTGGGGGGGGGGGGGGGGCTCTATTGATTATATAGTGAAATTACATGAATTCTTTGAAAATCTTCTTCTCTGCTCCTAGGTATTAAATAAATTAACTAAGTGCATAGTGATGATGAGCAAGAGTGCCTCAACCAAAATTGTGAATTTTATGGCCCCAGGGTCAAGGGTTATGGTGTTGGGGGGGCTCTATTGATCATATGGTGAAAATACATGATTTCTTTGAAAATCTTCTTCTCTGCTCCTAGGTATTAAATAAACTAACTAAGTGCATAGTTATGATGAGCAAGAGTGCCTCTACCAAAATTGTGAATTTTATGGCCCCGGCGTCAATGGTTCTGGTGGTGGGGGGGGGGTGGGCTTTATTGATTATATAGTGAAAATACATGAATTCTTTGAAAATCTTCTTCTCTGCTCCTAGGTATTAAATAAACTAAGTAAGTGCATAGTTATGATGAGCAAGAATGCCTCTTCTAAAATTATGAATTTCATTGCCCCAGGGTCTGGGGTTCTGGTGTTAGGGTGGGGCTCTATTGATTATATAGTGAAAATACATTGTACATTAAATCTTTGAAAATTTTCTTCTCTGTCTCTGGGTATGAAGCAGATGAACTACCTATATAGTTATGATGAACAAGGGCCCTAATCTTGCAGAATTGTGAATTTCAAGGCCCCAGGGTCAGGGGTGGGGGGGGGATGGGGGGGGGACTCTACTTATATACTGAAAATGAATTAATTGTTTGAAATCTGGTCCTTTGTATTTATAAAACATTTATTTACTTTTTGATAGGCAATTTTAAGGGTGCCTTTTAAAAATTTGTGCAACCTAGGGTCAGGGGTTTATGTGAGAGTGTTAGGGGCACTACTGATTATTGATTAATATTACTGATTAGTTGGAGTGCATTTTTGTTCCCCTACCCTGCTTATGGGTATTCAGTAACCAAGCTAAGCAACTGCTAAGTTTATTGTTATGATGATCAATGGTGCCCTTTCAAAATTGTGAATGCCATATAGCATCTGGCTTAAAACATGAATCAAATTCAATACACTGTAACTGGAAAGTTGTTGCATAATGCTCAGGTGACCTATAAGGCCCGTGGGCCTCTTGTTTTTTGAAATATTGCTTGTTTTGGAAGAAATTTTCATAATTATTTCTTTCTTTTCAGTTACTGATGGAAACTTACCAGTTGTAAGATGGATGAACATTACTTCACTGAAGAGAATCTGAATGTAGACATTATCAGTACCGGTACTTGTTGTAAAGGTCTTAAGTTGTTGTTATTTATTAATTCTATTATTAATAAACCTTATTAAAGATGCTCAGTGTTCAATTTTAACTTAATTTGCTCTGCTGTATAGAAAAGAGGTCTTTTTATACCCCCCTTCAAAGAAGGGAGGGCATATTGCTTTGCTGCTGTCTGTCGGTATGTCGGTCTGTCGGTCCATTTAGTTTCCATTCATTTTCTTCACAACCATTGCACATACTGAACTGAAATTTGGTATACAGGTTTATCAGGTGAATATCTAGGTCAAATTTTGTTTTAGGTATGATCGCACCATGTTTGACAGAGTTATGCCCCTTGGACTTAGAAAAATTCCACTTATTTGCAGTTTCCGTTCATTTTCTTTTCAGAGGTTGCACATATTGAAATGAAATTTAGTATACAGATTTTTCAGCTGAATATCTAGGTCAGGTTCTGTTTTGGGTAGGATCGCACCATTTTTGTTAGAGTTATGCCCCTTGGACTTAGAAAAATTCCACTTACAGTGTATTTGCCGTTTCGGTTCATTTTCTTTGCAGAGGTTGCACATATTGAAATGAAATTTAGTATACAGATTTTTCAGCTAAATATCTAGGTCAAGTTCTGCTTTGGGTATGATCGCACCCTTTTTGTCAGAGATATGCCCCTTGGACTTAGAAAAATTCCACTTATTTGCAGTTTCCGTTCATTTTCTTTGCAGAGGTTGCACATATTGAAATGAAATTTAGTATACAGATTTTTCAGCTGAATTTCTAGGTCAAGTTCTGTGTTGGGTAAGATTGCACCATTGTAGACAGAGTTATGCCCTTTTGGAATTAGAAAAAATTCAATTTGGGGGGAGGAGGGCATAAGTGTTTTACAAACATCTCTTGTTATTTCATTAATTCTGTCTTTTCGGGAGAGTTTTTTTTTGTGTGGATAAACTTAATGTTTATAACGAATTACGCTTATAACAAAGTAAAAACGTCCTTCCCTGGCACTTTTTTGAACATTGTAAGTGTGTTTTACTGTATTTTAATTTTTTCTGACTAAAACAGAAGGATGTCCTTTGTGTGTCATCTGTAAACTTTTCACATTTTCACTTTCTCCAGAATCAAACTTATCATAAAGCATCCCAGGGTGAAGGGGATTCATTGTCTTTAAAATAAACAACCATCTCTACTTTTAAGGGAAGAGGAATAAAGTACGGTAAAATTCGTTGAGTACCAACACGGATATTGTGAATTCACGGATGTAGCGAAGTCATCTTGGATCCTCAGCTATAAAAATTTAATGAATTTCTTATACGCTTACAATGAATTACGGATATAGCGAAGTAATTTCATATGTCCCAGCGACTTCGTTATAACCGAGTTTTACTGTATAGACATATTTTTATTGTGAGGTCCTAAAAAAAGTCTGAAAGACCTTGTGAGATCAAACTCTGAAAGTGTTCATATACACTAGACAAAATTGCTAACGCACCACCTAAGAGAATTAATATTTTACTTTTTAAAACCTTTTAATGATGTATTTGATATATGAATATTTCCATTTCTAATTTTTTTCTCTGTGATATCTCTTTGAAAGTTAGGGGGAGTTTATTTCTTGATGATTCTGCCGGAATGTAAATTAGGCAGGTCGATAGGTCAGGAGTTAAGGAGGCCTAATACGCATGTAAATCTCGTGCTGCTGCCTTTGTGTTTGACGTCAGTGGGCGAGGACTATTGAAATTGACATGGAAGTCCTCATGTAATTTAAATCTATTAATCTACATTTTTAAAGTCTAAATCTACAATTTTATTTCACAATGAAATGGAAATATAAGGAATCACTGTCTAGTTAGTGTAGTATGCCAGGGACATCAACGATAGTGGGAAATATGGGATAATTTATGCATAATGGGCAATTATGCAAATTATCCCATGTTTCGCACTATCGATGATGCCCTGGCATACTACACTAACTAGACAGTGATTCCTTAAATATGTTACTTCAATACAAAATAAGGCATACATGTATTAATATCAAACCTTATAAAAACTTCTAATCAATGTTTACTGAAGCGTGACCAATTCATAGAAAAAATTAAGATTGTGTCTATTCCATTTCCGAAGAAAAACATTTCAATTTTTTCTTTGCATTTGTGTTCTTTATATTTGTACTAATTGAAAACTCAGAAAAAAAGTTACACCGTATGCGGGGTCTGACGCAAGAAGAGCGTGCTAAAGCAGATAGTATGGCGTCTGCAGGAGGGGGGGGGTACATTTAGAGAAATCTGTAAAAAATGAAAACAATAAAAAGCTTATGAATTCCACTCATGAAAAATTGTTGCGAATACATTAACGAACATAAAAATGTGTACTATAGATAGCCACAGCATTAAGTTAGGAGCATACAATCAGTTGAAAATTGTTCTATAAAACCACAGGAGTCTGAAGTTTTTATCGTCAAAAAAAAGAAAAAAAAAATCTGAAAAAAAAATTTCCAACCCTCAACAAAAAAGTTTGAGGGTTGGAATTTTTTTTCCGGATTTTTTTTTTTTTTTTTTTTTTTTTTGACGAATAAAACTTCAGACTCCTATTATAAAACTAGGTCAACCGGAAGTTGAGTGGAGTTGGTATGGACACTAGGGCACCGGATGGTTCCTTGGCGATATGAGAGTCAATGACTGTGTTGTTTGATTTTTAACAGGGGGCTACTCCTGTGGCAACCTCACAGACCACCTATAGTGATCAAGAATTTCATATCTGGGCAAAAATGGTGAGCACTGCACAGTGGAAATTGGTTTTCGGATAAGAAGGGTCTTTTCATGATACCAACACATTTTTCAATCCTACTGTTTTGGAAATAATGGCATATTTTATACACTATTACCGATCCAGCAAATGTTCAGTTCACAAATAAGAATTAACAAGTTGCTGTCCTTTAAAAAAGGACTACAATACGTGGACCATTTGCATGTGTTTCGACGGAACCGAAATTTATTTAGAGAATGTGGATTCGTTTACATTTCCACTATGACCTACCTACTTTGACTGATTGTACATTCATAGCAAAATTATTAATTTTGGGATTAGCCTATAGTTTTCTTATTTAAAAAAAAGTCGGGCTATTTTGAAAGATGTAACCCATATCGGCTTAGACTTGATATCTGTTCTGGACTTATACGGAAGAAATCTATCATTGGAAAATAGATCTGATGGCACACCTCTAGCATATAGATATGTAGTATGTAGATTTTTAAATTTTCGACCCCCCCCCCATCCCCACACAGAAAACCGTTTCTACAGGCATCTATCAAGCTATTATTTTGGATTAATGTGTATCAAATTATTTTGCGAGTCTTGATGCACAAAACTAATGCCGATTTTAAAAGCTAGAACTAGTTGTATGAAGTTTTCAAATTAAGTTATCTACGAGTATTATACATGTATATACTGCACTCATGAGAGAAATTCGGATCCGCTAATAAATATATAAATACTATAAATTATGCAAAGTTAAAAGCAAGATTTGCCAATGAAATGGCATATTCTAATTCGACTAGGGCGAATTATTCTAGGAGCAAGTTGTCTTAGGAGCAAACTCTCTAGCATTCTCGCGCATGCCTACCCTGACTTTTGCCCAGGGCATCCGGTTTAACCTCGCTTATATATTTACTGCGTGGACCTCAGGGTCCACGCAAAAGTGGTGCGTTAGCAATTTTGTCTAGTGTATAGTATGTATCCAGAAACTGGTACATATCAAGAACCACGGCTCAGAAGTCTCAAAACCATTTCACTGATATCATCAGTAATTCAACAAATGTTAATTAATCTTGTTAATTGGCATTTTATTGCACCCCCTTCCCCCTTTCCATTGCATGTACAACAAGAGGCCCAGCGGCCATATCGCTCACCTGAGCACATCAGCTAGGAAAAAGCACATTAATCAGATCAGAACTGAAAAGTTACTGGGGGGGGGGGTCAGGAGGGGGCTTGAATTCTAATACTACTTGAGAATGCCTCCATATCAATACTGCATATAACTTCTTGAGAAAAAGATTTTTATAGATTTCTTTTAGCATTTTGTTTGTATATATCACTTTGTAATAAATTGAATTTGACTCCCCATTGCCTCCCTCCCTACCCCAAAGGGTACTCATGATTTGAACAAATTTAAATATTCAATGCATGAGGATGCTTACATGTCAATATGACTATACGTAGCTTTTCTGTTATTGGGATTTTTCCCTTTATTTTCCTATGTAAAACTTTGATTCACCATTGAGACCCTTCTTTACCCTTGGAGGTTATGATTCGAACAAATTTAATTCTACACTATCTGAGGATGCTTCCATATAGATTACACTATCCATGGCTTTGCTATTGCCATTCTATAGAAAAGGATTTTTAAAAATATGTTTCAATGTAAAACTTGGACCCCCATTTTGGAACCACCCTATCCCTAGGGGTTATGGTTTGAACAAACTAAAATCTACAGTACCTGAGGATGCTTCCATATGAATATCATTAATGATGGCTTTGCAGTACTTGAGAAGAATTTTTTTTAAAGATTTCCCTATATATTCCTATGTAAAACTTTAATCAGCCATTGTGGGCCTACCCTACCCCCGGGGGTCATGATTTAAACAAACTTGAATGTACACTTCCTGACGATGATTCAACATGAGTTTCATCTTTCCTGTTCCTATTGATCTTCAGAAGAAGATTATAAAGATTTTTCCTATATATTCCTATGTAAAACTTTGATCGACCATTGTGACCCCACGCTACCCCCAGGGTCATGATTTGAACAAACTTGAATTTACACTACCTGAGGATGATTCAACATGAGTTTCAACTTTCCTGGCCCAGTGGTTCTTGAGAAGAAGATTTTTTAAAAAATGCCATTAATTTTTCACTAATTCATAATTGTCTCCCCTTGGAAGAGGGCGTGGCCCTTCATTTGATCAAACTTAAATCCCCTTTACCCAAGGATACTTTGTAGCAAGTTTGATTGAAATTGGTCCAGTGGTTCTTGAGAAGAAGATGAAAATGTGAAAAGTTTACAACAACGCCAACGACCACGACGA